TGCCGGAAATGCCAGAATCTCAGGTGAAACCTCAGAAAATTTTGACAACCACAAAACAGCTAAAACAGTAAATGAAAGCAGGTACACGGATTCCGCTCAAAGACGTAAACACAGCGCAGCCCCGCGGATCAGAATCAGTGAGATGTTGCCTTTCTCACCCAACAGCACGGACACGGTCGGGGCTGAAAGCCGACAGCTCACTGATTCTGTTTCGGCAGGTCCGCGCTTTGTGTTAACGCCCTTTTTGCACTGATTCTAAAGCTGTTAGTTTTATCTCTCTCCAAACAATATTGACCGAACCAGCAGCAAAAGAAGATCCAAACTGCGCTTCACATAAACATTGTCATGGATTCCCTCTGACTTTTGCTGTTTTGCTTCTACCAGGATAAAATCACACTTCATGCACAGCTCTCTCTCTCTCTCTTTCTCAGTGTACTTCAAGAACAGTTTCTCGTCTAAAAATCTGTTTTCTGCATTATTCGCTTGCTTGTTATGCACAAGTCTACCGTTGTTTACAGCGCTGTTGGCCGATGTTTTTTTCCCTTTTACTTACTTCCGAAAAGAAAACCTAATTTCTGCCATTCAATACTGAACAAATTTAACATTTTTAAAATTATGCAAAATGTGAAACGCTCAGCCGTGTTTTTTAATAAAACCGCTGTAAATTCAGAAGTAATGTTCACATGTTGATTAATGGTTTTCTTTCATTTTTGATCTACTGCAGAATATTTTTATAAAATCCCAGGCCAGGAAAATCACCTTCATGTTTTTCTGTGTTTTATCTTCAGCTACTTTGACACAAAGGCATCTGCTGTGATGCTCACACCTTTGATAAAGTCTTGCGAGGTTCAGCTTCCTTTTTATAGATACAAAAATATGTAAATTTACTAATCTGAATTTTAATATTTCTGACTGTCTGAGGCAAAATTTCCCAGATTCAAATCGAATTGAATTGAATCCAATCCAATCGTGAATCGAATCGATTCAGAACCTTGTGAATCGGAATCGAATCGATTCTAGAAATCAGTGACAATACCCTGCCCTATCTTTTAGGGTGTCTTGCATTGAAATCTGCTGCAATGACCCGGTTACTACGTTCACCAGATATCAACACGATTTCGATCCGCTCCTCACGTGTTAACCTCTTCGACATGTCAGTGGCTGTGAACAAAGAGAAACTTGTAAATAACTCATGAAAGAATAAAGTTACGTTGAAAGCAAGCACACCATTGTTTTTCTTGTGATATTGCCAATAAGTTTGATGTGTCACATGGCCCTCTTCCTATAGAGATTGAAAATGTGACGTCATTCAGGGGCAAAACCGCAAGGGATTCTGGGAACGAGTGGCAAGCGGTACTAGAGCACTGCAGGCTTTCACATGAAAACAGTCACACAGCGATAAAAAGAAACACAAAAAATGGCAAGAAGCTGTTGTATTATTAACTGCAATAGCCGGTCACATGACAGCCACGGGAAGCCGACAGGTAAAGAGATCGGTTGTTATCGGATTATGTCGTGGAAGAGAAATTGTTTAAGCCACGTTTCTGAAGTAACAAAGAGCCGACGGATGGCCTGGATTGCAGCAATTCGAAGACCAAAATATAAAGTTTCAGAACACTCCAGCTCATATGTTAGTCTGCTCCAAGCATTTCCACAAAGGCAAGTCTTCTGTTGTAGTTATTACGTAATTTATCGTAACATAATTGTTGATGTAGGTTACAAATAAGTCTTATATTGATTTGAATTGAATTCGTTGCGCTATGCTGCTTTGTTCACTGTGACTTTGCGGGCTAATGTTTGCCAATTTTTTGATGTGTTTTATAGAAAAACCAGCTTACAAAATGCTGGAATGCGATCCAGACTGGGCACCCTCTATCAGCCTGGGTCAGACCGAGTTTAAAGCTGCTACACAGCGATTGGTTAAGAGAGAGAGCGATATCAAAACAGCCACGAAAAGTCACGCATATATGTCCCCAAGTGTTGTATTGAAACAAGTGATGAATAACTGTTTTCGAACATGGTTTTTTTTTTCATTGTTGATTTGTTTTTCACCGAAGCAGCTAATAAAGCATGATGGAATGCAATGTTGCCTCTTTCTTCTAAGATTCTATAATAGAATGAAACAATAATGCCATTTATAAATAAAGAAAAATAGAATTAATTACAAAACACTCTTTTTTTCTATTAGATCTGAAAATGTTGTGTAATACTACAACCTGAAACAACAAATAGATTGTGTTGGCCTGTACAGGAGATAAAGAAAAAAATGTAACAACAGCGGTGAAATGGAATAGTCCAAATCAAGTAAACTGGACCTGGGCTTGTTGCAGGGATCTAAAGTTAGTAAACATTTTGTGAGTGTAGGGACTCACACTTCACTCGGGATCATATAATAATAAATATGTGTGTGAATAAAGTTGGGCAGCACGCTAACGTCCTTACTCCACTGCTCGTATGGGTCTGACCCATAACTCCTTTGATTTTTTTCCTCGTACTTTTTTTTTTTTGCCTTTTCGTCAAGTCTGTCTTTGTATGGACCTGCCGCGTTCTCTGTTGTTTTGTACATAACTGTTTTTGGGGCAAATAAAATGAAAGTAGGGATTAAAACCGCAGAATTAATGATTACCGGTGCTGGAAATGCTAG